CTCTGCACGCCGCTCCTCGGTCATTGATAGGTACCGGGACAAAGTGGACTCAATGGTCTTGAAGTTCCGGAAGACCGCTTTGGCCCACTCATCCACGGGCAGCTGCCCGGGCGCCCGGAACGGAACAAGCTCTCGTTCCACGTGGTCGCGCAGAGACCACGCCCTGTCCAAGTCTCTTGGAACCAAACCACTCTCAAGAATCGGAGTGTTCATCATGATGTAGTGCACCAGAGGGAGCACACGGGCCCACTCCGAGGCACAAGCCTTGTGAACGTCCTGCAAAAGCAACGCAATGAGGGAGTTCACTGCCCTGGAGCATGCCTCCATGATCTTCTTCCGGGCTGTGTAGGTCGGCACTGTGAGGATGGAGATCGGGGCCAAGAACACTCCTTGCTGCCTTCCATCTGCGTGGTTGTGCAGAGGTAGCCCATTCCGGAAAGTTCCGCACCACCAAAGTGCGCTTGGCTGCCTCAATCTGTGAGTACATGAGGTCTTTTTCGGTCCAGGATGTGCGAATCTTGAGCATCCTGACCTCGTGCTCCAGCGTGTTGATCTTGATCGCGTGCTGCGTGAGCTCCGTTCCCACAGCTTGCAAAGCAGGTCCTACCTTGTGCTGAAAAGCCTCCGTGATCATGGCGGCACACTCTGCACGGGAGACCGGCTGTGAGGAGCTGGCATCACTGTGGGGCAAAGTCACATCCCAGTCCTGTGGGCGAGCCACTGGAGCTGCCGTCGGCAAGACAGACGGACCATCCCCTGTGAGAAGGGAGTCGTGCTGAGCAATGCGCTGCTGCATCTGCTCCAGCTGCTGGGCCGTAGACTCATGCTTGGCGGCCTGTTCCGAGCCCTGCACTTTTAGGGCCTCAAGTCCAGCAGCAACTGCGGCGAGCTTCGAGGACATAGTATTGAGGACCTGTGAGGAATCCATGGCTCCTGTGAGGTCTAGCAGAGAAAACGGGGCGAGAAAAGCTTGAGCACTCGTGAGCCTCTCATTGTAGGATGCGGTCTAGAAACCTCGCACCTCAGGGTTGAAAGGTTGTCAATGGTTGTCATAAGCTAGCTGACACAGCCCTGCAGCAAAAGCCCTGCCGTAATCACTAAACCCTCAACGTTAAAACCCTCAAACCCCAAACCATACACCCCAAACCGGAAATCCCTATTCAAAAAAGCAAAGCCTGAACTAGATCCTAAACCTCGAAACTCAGAAGCCTCAAAACCCAAAACCTTAAAACCCGATTCACTAAACCCGAAACAGGAGAAACTAAACCCCAACCTCCGAAAGTGACACACCCAAACACACATCCACAAAGACTTCACGTCTGTAACGCTTCTACACATAGCGTTTCAGCACCCTTTGTGAGTGCAAGCCGAGCACGAGTAACATGCATGCACCACCTGCCGGGCCGTTCAAACTTTCAATCTGTCAAGCTTTCGAACTTTCAACCTTTCGAACTCTCAAATCGGCGGACAGTCGAGCCTTCGAACTCGATGCGATTGAAACGTTTCAACGTTTCCAACTTTTTCAAACCATCGACATCCATCGACGTCTCAAACTCTGGAACTTTCATGCCATTCAAAAAATGAAAATATCAAACTCTGAAAGCTTCAAACTGTCGAACCTCCAGCCTCTCAATCTTTATATCTTTGGAACTGTCTGTCTCCTCGTCGCTTTCTGTTCCCTTCTTTCCAGACGTGCTTTGTGCTTCTGCAATGAACGAACCAAACCCTAAACTCACAAACCCCTAAACCCTAAACTTCCTAAACCCTGACGCAATGGGGGCAGCCATTTTTTTGCTGACCCCGTCCCTTGGCGGCTCCTTATGCTCGGGCTTGGCGAAACGACACGACAGTAGATTGATCCCCAAACAAAATGACTGTATTTGCTCAGCCCTGCCGCCAGCCCCGCCATCACATGGCCTCCGTCCAGCCTTTTGGGGCAAAAGGTGAAACCCCAATCACGCTAGTCCTTTCCAAATTCTGACCGGTGGATGTCCTTCGCTCTAGCTCAGGCTCTCGATGGCTGGAAGCTGCGAAAGCTGCCTCCTGCCTGACTCCGTGACGCGCTGAGGGGCGTGCGTGTGTAGATTGTGTAGTCTCTATGTCGAAGACAACATAAGCACCACACTACCCGCTACTCTTTTACAGTTCTGCGGGATGTAAGAGTGCGACTATGCTTTGAAGCTGCCCCCACCGCAACGCCAGCGGCACGTCCCAATGCTTGGTCAGTTTCTCCCTCCCTGTCGCTTCTCGAAGACCGGACGATGGTCGGATGATGCAGCTGCGACAAACGAGCTATCACAACGACAGTGTCTTGGCTTCGTGCGGTCCGATCGCTCCGGGTGTCGATGCCGGGCTCGAAACCGACGCCCAGCCCCGTGCTGCTTCTGGACCGTTGGATCTGGCTGCGGTACGCGGCTCGCAGCTCATCGCAGCTCATCGCAGCTCGCAGAGCAGCGGGGAGCGGACGGAGCTGACGGAAGCGTCGTCTTTGGGGAAGCTGGAGCCGCTGCGGAGAGGAAGACCTCGCAAAGCAAAAGCCCAACCCCCCCGAAGTCCTGAGTCTCCCTTTGCGGACAAAAAATTTTGCTGCCGGGGGGGGGGGGCCTGTTGCGCGCTTTGCTCCCTGTAGAAGAGAAGAACATCATTCCTCTGCAGCAAGGCGGGCCCCTACTGCGGTCAAGACGGAAGACGGCGGGCCTCATCGATCTGGTTTGCTCAGCCTGATCGGAAAACACATGAGAGTCGAAACCAAGCCAAGGCTTCTAAGGATCAGACTTTGCCCTTGTTGGCTTGGTGTTTGGACTGGGCACGTTTCCTTGGCTCTCTGTGAAAGCCACAGCATCGGTTCTGCCTCTTCTTCAGCGGAGCGGCACGAACTCGTCTTCCAAGTCCTGGAGCTGCTGTCAGGACACGAGTCTCCCTTGTGCTGCCCGGCTCTCCTTGGCAATCTGCCCGGTTACCGGCTGTGAAGAAGCCTCGGGAGACGCGTCCCGGACGCTCTGGAGAACAACGTGCAAACTTCGCAGACGTCTCTCCGTTAGGCTCGTGGTGGGTACCCAAGGCTTGAAGCTGGCCACACTTAGACTATGCCACACTGCTGTGATCTGCTCATCTCCACCCTTGCTTGTACTGTGGAGCCAGGGCAGCAAACGACCGCTTAGGCGAAGAGAGCCGGGCTTCGAACCCAGGCTGTTGGGGACTGTTCGAGATGAAGCAGAAAGATTGTGGTGGCACCCGCTCTGGGGTCTCCGCTGCATCAATGAAGATCCAAACCAGCCAGTCGCAGGGAGCCTGGCAAGGAGGCTGCTTCAGCAAAGGCGAGCTTCGGGACGCGAGCGGGACCTGGTCGTGGAAGGCCAAGAGGAACTCCGCGAGCTTCGGGAGCCTGGCCAGGCTGAGTGCGGACCGCGGCTGAGATGCAGGGCTCTGAGATTCTGGGGGTCGCCTGGAGGACCTGAAAGTCTTGCCGATGAAGCCCAGCTTCGAGAAGGCGATCATCACCCACTCGTTGCCGGCCGCCTTCCTGCGAAAGGCAAAAGCGAAAGCGCAGACAAAGTCCGCCACTCGTCATCGGTGGCTCAGGCTCGGGCTCTCTCATGTAACGACGTACCGTTGGCAAAAAACTCGGAACAACCTGGCAACTGCTCTCCTTTCTGTGTTCCTCGCGCATGCAGGCAGGGAGTATGCAATGAATGGTGTGTCTCGATGGCCTGGACATCGTCTTCGAGCTGCATGTAGTACTCTGACAGGCCAGCTGCATACCTCAAGAAACCCGAGCCTCAGCTCAACCCTGGGTTGGTTGAGGCGTGCCCCCCCGCTTCTTGCACAAGGGCACCACATCAAGTAAGCGTAGTCCATGTTCTGCTTGGCTCTCCTTATTCTGCGCAAAAATCTCAGAGGGCTGACATCTCGCGGACTCTTCAAAGCTCGGAGAGGCACCACCACTGCCTATGCGGCGGATCACCGAACTTTGTGCTCTTCTGGACCTGGCAAATCCCCGGTCCATCCGTCGGGGGGTGGGGGGGGGGGGTAGCCAGGGCGAAAGGGGCAAACGGGGTCGTCAGGGAGGGCCTCCTCCTTCGAGGGATAGAGCTTCTCTGGGGCGTGGATCACGTGCAAACGATTCGCCTCGCAGAGACGAACAGAGACGCGCCTCGGGGCCGCGGGCGGAGGGCTTCGCTTCGCCGGTCTCAAGAGACGGGGCCTGGCCTGCACCTCGTCGTCGAAGCCAGAGCGGAGCCACTCGTGAGATTTGCTGACCTTTGCGATGGTGCACAAGGGCGTCTCTCTTACCATCCTGGGAACATGAATGCTCGAGACGAGTGTTGAAGCTCATTCGGATGACATCCACTTCATCATACATCCAACTTCTCTACGTTCTGGACGAAGCCACCCAAGTTTCATCGAAGTCTGCGAGGTGGACAACGATACCTGCCAAGCCACGTGGCGAAAGTGCCCCTCATCTGATTCCGTTCTGTGCAGAAGCTCCGAATCCAACCTGTGTCCGTCGCGGCCCCCATGGCGTCGAAAAGGTGAGACAAAGTGAGACCCAGGTATTCCTCAGATTGAGAATAGACCGGATCATGATGGATCATGCAAGGCCTACCGACAGGAAGACCTCCCCCCCCCCAAAAAAAAAAAAGGTCATCTGCTGTGAGTTCTTCTCGATGATGTCCAAGACTTCTCTGCGCATGTCTGAGGGTTCCGATATCAACATGCTGCATCCATGCTGGGCATGATGCTTCTTTCCTGGTGACCGACTCGAAAGGATCTGAAGCTGTCTGACGTCACTGTGCCGTTTCGATAAATGCTTTTGGGACTAGCAGGGATAGAAAAGTCGAGGGGCAGCCTTCCTCTGTACCGAGGATACACCGATGAAGAGCCATCGTGGTGTCTGCCGGGCTCGCTGCTCCAGGTCCTCGGCAATCCAGGCATCTTGACCGTCTCTATAGGCGGCATGGTGATACAGGCAGCGTCCTTGTCAGGAAGCAGGCGGAGGGAGCTGCGGTCCAGGCTGTGCAGGCAAGACCAGGCCTGTGAGGAAAACGAATTTAAGGGGTGCACGGTTCGAAACTCGACAGGTGTCCAGTCGGATTACGCACGCTCTTCCCTTTCCGGGCCTCGAGAACCGGGCCTTCGGCGAGCTGCTTCAGTCGCCGAGGTCCTTCCTGATCAAAGGCTTCTGACACTGCCTTGCTCAGAAGCTCGCAAAGATCTGCAATGGCCTGGTATAACTGGTCGGACAAATTGCATCCGTGCCAATGCAGGAGGGGTGATAAGAGGACCTCAACACTGCATCACACATCGAGCCAAAGCAGGGCGGAGTTCACGATCCGGGTACATCGTGCACACCGAGATAACTGCAGCATTTTGACGAGCTGCAACGCAAAAGTTCAAAACGATGATCGCCAGCGCGGCGACCGCGAATGGGAGAACGAGGTCGCACTGCACACTGCCCGTTGCATGGGCTGCCTCGGCGTAGTGTTGCGAGCAGATCAGGGTAGATGTGCTCATGCGGACAACAGCGGCACCGGTAGTCAAAATCTGTTGAAGCCGGCTTGCAGCAAGGCGGTGACGGCCGTGCATTTATCCACTCCATCCCCGTTGGTAGCTACACAACACCTGCGTGAGCTAGTAAAACCCATGCCACGCCTGGGAACTGAACAGCCGTCGGTTGTAGAGCGATTGGAATACACAACCTCTGACAATCCTCACGATAGGTTCCTATTTAAAACGGTCTGAGCCCTGGCAAGTTCAAGAAAGCATAAGCTGGCACAGAGCTGCGAACTAAGACAGAGGAGTCTTCTCACATCTGCAAGGCGGGCAGAAGCATCGTGTGTCTTTTTACCCGGCATTCTTTGATGGATCGGCATTTGGGCGGATGGCCTGATGCACAAGTTCACAGCATGACAGCGGACTAAGGCCGAGTCTTGAAGTACTGCCACATAACACACGGAACCACAGAGGACAGACTCATGCCGCTCTCAAAACATGCAAGCAATCACCGAAACCGACCGAGCACACGACTTGAATGCCGACACCGAAGACCCTCAAACGCCGAGCTGTACATGCCACAAGACTTACGCCGGACTGTCGGAGCGATACATCTAATCTATGGCACCGTACCTCCCAGTTGTAAGCTAAGGCCCTAGAGGCAAAGAGCCTTTGGGGACTTTCCAGGCGGGTTCGGAGGGAGATAGAGTGATGAACTAGAAGAAAAAAGAGAGCGAGAGCGAGAGAGCGAGAGCGAGAGAGAGGGAGAGAGGGAGGGAGGGATGGAAAGGCATCCGGCACTGGCGACCGCCCCAAAGCCAATAATTGGCACATTTCTGCGCATGCAGCTTCAATCATCTACCCGTTCTGTGAGGCCGTCAGCACGAAGGGTTGCACGGCCTCTTCCAGCTCGCTGCCGGTAGTTTGCTACAGACCCTGATTCGTTTCGAGCCCGTCCTGCAGTCTGACACTCCCAGCCTTCCGGCGGCGGCAAAAAGAGATGCGGCAACTGTCCAGTCTTTTGCCAACTCACAAGCATTGACTGCGCTGACATACGTTTTCGCAGTGGGCAAAACCCGCTGCCTTTCCATGTCAGCCATACTCCCAAGAACGCACCTCCACGCACCAGAGTTGGCACAAGTGGCTGCAATGCTGCTGTGGGTGATGATGCTTGGCACTAGCCCGTCTGATCTCAGGGCTTCCAGAAAGCCAAGCGCCGCGGACCATCGCCCTCTTCGTGCGCAAGTGATGATTAGACTGTTGTAGCTAACGAGATTCGGTTCCAGCCACATGCGCATGGTCAGAAACAGGCCAAGAGCTAGGAGCCACCGGCCATCGTCCGCACATGCTCTGATGACGCTGTTGAAGCTGATAACATCAGGTTCGAGGCGCACAGATCCGGCTCCCACGGAGCTTTGCAAGAGCATCAAGGCAGCCTGAAGCCTCCTTGCCTTCTCACAGGTGCTGAGCGCGCTGTTCAAGCAGAACAAGTCAGGTTCGACCTTCTTCTCGAAGCTCGAGGCAAAAAGCTTCAGTCCCACCCTCCATTGTGCGGCTCTCTCACAAACGCTTATCATGCTGCTCTGGGTGATCACATCTGGCTGAAGGCCCAGCGCTATCATCCGGTCTTGAAGACCGATCGCGGCATTCCAATCTCCACCAACATGGCAAACGCCGATGACACTGTTGAACGTGGACGTGTCGCAAAGCTGCAGAGCCTGCGCTCCTCCAAGCAGCTCCAAAGCAGCTGCTTCCTGTCCATCTTCTTGGCAAGCTCTGATTGCCAAGCTGAAACTGAACATGTCTGGAAGCAACCTGTGTCGATCTAGTCCAGAAGCCAGGCTTGTGGCAACACGCCACTGTCCACCCCCCTCAATGGAGGCAAGGATGCTGTTGAAGCTGACCGTGTTCAGCTGATGAGTCTGCTCTACCAGGGTGGTGAGAAGACCTGCCGCGGCAAACCAGTTTGAGCACACAGAGCTCAAAGTCATGGCATCCAGCGGCAATCGGCAGATCTTCATTTGCTGAATTAGCACCAAGCACGATGTCCAGACAGGTAAAGCTTTCAAAGCAGTGTTGTAACTGATGGCATTGGCAGAGACGTGCATGGTGCGGAGGAGCTGCAGAGAGTGTGCCCAGGAAGCTCCCGGACCTGCTGCATCGAGAGCTGCCGTGTAGCTAATCGGCGTTGGCCTCAGTGCAGCTTTCCGGGTACAGCGCATCAAATAGTGGATAGCCAAAGACCAGGCACATCCTTCTACTGTCGCATTGTAGCTGACGATGTCGGGGCTCAGCTGATTTAGAGCTGCACATGCAAGGAGACTCAAGGCCATAGACCACTCGGTAGAGTGGCCGCAAACGCTAGTCGCACTGTTGTAGCTAAGGAGGTGTGACTGCACCGCGTGCAGAGACATGACTACCAGCAAGGCTCTGGCAACTGCCCACTGGCGTGTGCTCTCGCACGCGTTGATTGCACTTGTCAGGCTGAACACATCAGGCACGAATTGCTTGGAACACATGGAAGCGAGCAGTACTACCGACGTTAGCCACGCGTGTCCCCGGCCGAAGATGCTGACGCTGGCATTGAAGTTGACCACGTCCAGACGCAAGTGTAAGTGTTTCATCTCGCCCAACAGACTTGCTGCGAGAAGCCAGCCTTTCTCGCAGGCGCTGATCGTTGCACCGCAAAGGATCGCCTCAGCTGCGATGCCGTCTAAGATCTCACAATAGTTCAATCCTTTAAACAGCTGTGCATCTAACACCGAGCAGCATCTGCCGTCACGAACAACTCATCCATGATGGCCATGAGCCGCAAGGCGAAGTCCCAGCGACTGACTAGGCCACATGCCTTGACAGTGCTGGTGAAGCTGATCACATCCAGTCGCATCCTTGAGTTCTCCATGCTCCTCAGGAGACCTATCGTCTCGATCCACTTGCTCATGCGTGCTTGAGCGGCAATTGCCTTGTTGTAGCTGACCACATCTGCATGCCTTGCTGCCACAGGTTCAGGAACAGGCTGGAGTGACGATCGTGGCATCCGGCCACACTCCCTGTCTATGCCTGAGACGGTTTGGTGAAACAGCTGCGGAGCCGGGCACCGTGGCAAACACCACATCTAGTCGATTCCGTCGCCTCCTTCGAAGCATCTGGAGCTTTGGGTTGGCAGGTCCCAGGAGCTGGAGGTTGGCCAAAGCAAACTTTGTCGCTGCAGCTGTGGTTCCTTCACTTCACTGCTCCTGCTTCTGACCTCTATATCCAACACCTCCATTAACTGCTGCTTTTCCCGAGAAGCTCCAAAGATGGGATGTTGACAGTGCTGTGCGAAGCGTCACATGATCTGTGCACGCCCTTGAAACCGGTCTGTCTGGCTACCTAAAGCTCCATTTAGACATAGATACATATTATGTAAGTGACTGGTTCACTGATTTGCAGTGGAGTCCGTGCGTCATTGCAACTTTGGGGGTTTCGTCAAGCAAAAGGCCTGGGCCACCGTGAGGAGTCGCCGCAGGGCAACCACGTGACGCCGCACCTTGCGATCTCAAGTCGAGTGTCAGATCCCTTCCTACTGCTCGACGGGCCAATACGGGTTTGAACCAGGAAAACTGCCTGGAGCACAACTTCGGCCGAGTGTGGAGGACACAAAGCAGCTTTGCGGGAACACAACGACTCAAACTTCTTCTTGCTCAGGTTCCAGGCTGCTACAAGTAGCAATGGACATGGCAGTAGTGACAGCTTGCGTGAGCCTCCAGGACCTGTAAGGGAGGTCGCTGCACCCAATTGCCCCAGCACAGCACTGCCAGAGCTTACATGGAGCGGCGTTGTTGTGCCTGAAACTTCGTCTTCTGCTGGCTTCTTCAAGTACGAGTTGTCACACTCTGCAACTGTTGCTCCGATGCGGCTTCCCAAAGAAGGTGCCTCCTCGTCATCCATTGCGTTGGCTTTCGCTTTGGCCGCATTCAATCGCTGAGCTGTGCGCGCCTGGAGGACAAGTCAGGACAAGTATCCTCCCTTAGACAGGGCCTTCCGCTGAAGCGCAACATGATTCCCAGGCACTCGGGCATAGGATCGGTGCTTCCTCGCATAGGATTATCCGCATTTGGGATTTAGAGTTTCTAGGTCCAAAGTGTGAGGTCATTCACTCGGTTTGGGGCTGTGTCATCTTTGCGGTTCTTCGAGAGCTTTCCACGTACTCTCCCACAGTGACATTCCCTCTGCGCTGCTGTCCGTATGGCTCAAGTGCCCTTGGTCGAAGCGAGGCCCGGGCCTGCTTCCACCTCAGCAAACCGCAGCACTACTGGCTCCACGCCCCTACGAAGCGAGCAGCCCAGTTTGGATCGTGTCCACTCGGGGGCCCACATGCGCCCGCGCTCGATGCCAGTCAGGCCATCCATGCCGCCCTCCATCAGAGTCGGAACCTGCACAGGAGAGGCGAGCACAGATCCGTTTCTGAATCCATCAGAAGCCATGCTGAGACCGGCCCGGCCGACCGCTCTCCTGCCTCAGTGTGCCAAGCTTTGTTCCCAATGGCGAGATCCATGTAAGCCTCGAGCTCGGGCGCGCAAAAAGAGGCTTCCAATGTGATCGAAGTGCGAAAGCCGAATCGTGGCTAGCCAGATGGACCGACATCACACTTGCAAGCGATCGCATCCTTTTTGCTGCGCTTTTCAAGCTTTACAGCAGGCAAGCGATTCATGCGGCAGACCATCGCATGGTTTCAAGCTGGTGTAGTTGGTCATCCAGCACTTCGGCATCACTGACCATGGACTGTGCCAGGCTTTGAAGCAACTGTCGGGTCAGTGCTTGCCGAAGCTTTTCAGCCGACTGCATGCGCGGGACAGGTGAAGGCAGAAGCTGCATGAAGTGACATGAAGTAACGAATTGAAGCCCCTGGACTTGCCTCCGGCTGTGCATGCGAGGGTGCTGCCTCGTTGGCCAGCTGCGCCCCGCTGAGCTCGGCCACCCGCCGCCGGCCCAGAGCCGCCCACACCTCACCGCAGCACATCGCAGCACACTCCAAGCTGTGAAAGGACGAAGGCTTTTGCTGCCTCCTTGTCAGGATGTGCGGCACCACCGAACTCGGAGAGCTGCTGCTCACGGTCCTGGCCCAGACACTGTGACGAGAGGGTTTTTCTCGTGTCACTTGTGGCATCTTGTGGCTTTGCTGTTGGTATCGTTTGTGTTTCTGCTGTTCGACAACAGGCCACACAAAAACAACGCAAAGAAGCTCTGTATGTGCTGCCCGGGCCGAAGCAATGACATACTGACAGTCTTGGTTGCCATGGAAATCCGAAATCTTTGAGCTCAAGGCATACCATCGTGGGCCCTGTTCCGGCACCAGGTCTCTCCAGAACCAGATGCTTCAAGCCATGACCAAACCCCAACACGCTTGTTGGAGGAGAGCATCACGTTTAGAAACAAGAATCTTAACCAACCCAAAACCTTCAACCCTAAGCCCTAATCCCAAGAACCCCTACCCTGCAATCAATCCCCTCCCTCCGCAGCCCATCAGCCCTGAGCGTACAACCTGAAACGTGAACTGCTATAAACCCTATAAACTCACCAAAACCCAACAGCACCCTCAACCCTCAAACCGAAACCTAGAACCCTGAACCGGCCCGGAACCCAAAACACTCCTAAACCCAAAACATTCCTGGTCCTAATCCCTGTCCTACATCTCCCTGAAACCCCAGATCGAACAAACTCCTAAACCCCAACAAACTTTCAAGCTCGCACGGTACACCCCGAACCCTAAACCCTAAACCTCCCAAACCCTAGACGACGCGATAGCCCCCCTACACCTGTCGCCATCCCGCGTACATGTCTTGTTCCTTGGGTCTGATTTGGGTCTTGTGGGGTACGCTGGCTTTCTCACTCAAAGCACAGAGTGACTCCACAAGCAGCCATTTCAGGCAGCTGTGAGGAAGATAAAGAGGTCATAACAAACAAGGATAACTTGCATCGGGAGGGAGAGAGGTGCCCCTACAGCAAGTGGGGCAAAAGTCAAAACGAGAGGGATGGGAAACGGGTGTGGTACAACTGTCCCCCCGACGCAATAAGAAGTTCGTGGACCGTGCATCAGAAACAATGGGACTTGCCCGCGCGCTCCGGATTGAAGCTCATGATGCTGGGGGGCCTACCAGGCGAAAATGAACGCTCCAGCCCTCCACACAGATCCTGCCAAAGCACTCCGAATGACGCAGGCTGCTCGGCATCGTGGTTGAAGGCACGAAGATCCCGCACTGCACCAGCAAGCAATGCGCCGATGACGTCGCCCACAACATACCCGCAAGGAAAATGCGCGGCGCACATTGGAGTATGACGGTGCAGCAAGCGACGAGCGGCAAAATTCCTCTGCCGAACCCTTCGCCACGACGACACAGCAGCACCACGGCCGCTGAAGGGTGCCCGGGCCGGAGAGTACATACAAACTACTTCAAAACTCAAAACCTCGAGAGTTGACAAACTTTGAAGCCCCCCAAAACCCAAACCCCGAAACCCCCCTGACCCCGTGAAACGCCTAAACCCTCAAATCCGGAAGCCCAAAAATCCGAAAGACCCGTCCCACAAACCTGAACCCTTACACCCTATACACCCTGAACTCCGAAAAATCCTGAAAAATCCGACATCCTTAAATTTGAAGTCTAATTCATCCGACGAATATTTGTATTTCAATCTGCCCTGAAACCCCGAACCCCAAACCCCTGTACACCCGGAACCCTCCCGGAACACCCAAACCCCCGAAATTTAAACCCTGAAATCGCTCAACCCGGCAACGCCGCAATCCCTCACCCTAGGCTCAGAAGCAATCTGAGAGGTTCTCGACTCCGAAAGCCTAAAGCCTGCAAAACATGGAAGCGACACAAAGAGGCGACGAGAGAACCCAAACCCCACTACGACATCTTCGTGGCCCACTCTGCTCCCGTGGAAGAGAAGAGCTCCCGGAGTCCCACCTTGGCACGCTTCTCGATCAGGCGATCCCGCTGCCGCCTCAGATGGTCAGCGCGCTGCTGGCGCTCTTCCTGCCGGCACTGTGGCTGATACTTCTACCGGCAGACTCAGCGGCAGAATGTTCAGGCATTCAGGTGAAGACGGACGCTGCGCCTCTGAGGGGCCACAAAAGTCGCCTGCTGCACTCTTTGGTGACGAGGGAGGCGAAAACATTCTGCTTCTGGCTCCCCGCAACTGCTTTGGCAGAGGTTGCACTGCTTCAGAAGCACGGCGCTTCCACAGCTGCAGGTTGGTGCGGAAGGCCTGACGGGACACGTAGACTTCGAGCAGACCCTTTTTCTGAAGCTGCACACAGGCATATGCGAGGCTCCGCTCACGGACGGCCTGCACGGGAGGCAAAGTTCGCGAAGCGGTCGAGGTGGTCGCAGCTTCCTCGGCCGGTGGCGGCGGTGGTTTTGAAGGCCCATCCTCCGCAGAAGCTCCCACCGCTACTCGAGGCTTGGGTGGCACATTGCAAAGAGGTGATGAGGTGAAGCCGGCGCGGCCTGGCAACCTCGGGATCGCAGAGGGGACATCGTTTGGGCTCGGGGGGGCTGGTTCAGAGGTGGCTGGGGCCGGTGTGGCCACGGGTGGTGGTATCGGCGGGCGCGCTACAAGCGGAGCCGAGGTGAAACCCCAGGGCTTCCGCCTCAGCGGCTCCGTTTGGAGGAGCCGAGCAGGAGCGGCAGTGCGGGGCGAAGTGGGCGAAATGGGTTCAGGCAAATGGCACAGGGGAGCCGATGTGAAGCCCGCGGAAGGCGGGGGCGGGGGCGGAGGTGGTGCAACTGGCACGTCCGGAATCTGCTCCTGCACAGCTTATCCGCTTGCACTGGCTTTCACTGGGCCTTCGTAACTGTGCCAAGCAAGGGTGCCTCGTTGGCCGACATTTGCCTGAGCCTCTCCTCCTCGATGCTGAGGGAGAGTGCGATGGCCTCCCATGGAAGTGACACATCAGCCAGAGGCTTTGCCTCCGAGTTTGCCTTGCCTGCTGCAGTTCGGCCTCTTCGCGCTTGGCCTCGGCCTGCGACGAGGAGAGAGCAACAAAGAGCTGCAACAGACGGCTCTAGCTGGTACAGCTATGAACTAGCAGAAACTAGCACCTTGAGCGACAATAAAGCAGTTTCAACCCCTCACACGACTCGGCCACTGGACACTCTTATTTAAACACTTGACAGATCCAAGCACAGAGAGCAACTTGGATGACCATTCACCCCGGCATCAGAACAGAATGGCGTGAACAAGACTGAGCAGGAGTGCTTGGGCTAGAGGTTGGAGTTTAGGGTTCACAACAGGGACCTCGGATCAGCATTTCCCTAACCCGACCCTGAACCCTTTTTAGAAACTCTGTACCTAAACTGAGGCTCTAACAGTTCTAACATCTATAACCCTAAACGCCAACCGATACCCTCAACTTGACATCCAAAGCCAGGGTCCTGGGACTCTGGGACCCTGGGACTTTCTCTTAGGCTATAATACAATAATTGGGATGCAGCCTGCCCCTCAAACTTACACCTAAAACCCTAAAACCCTAAACCCTCATTAACCCCTAAACCCCAAACACCCAAGCCCAAAAAACCCTAAACCCTAAACTCCTAATGCCACCGACCCCTAGGCCCCAAGCGAAGAAAGCAAGCCGTTCCAATGACCTCCTCAACTTCTCTTCGGATCTTCAAGATCCGGTCTACCACTGAACCTCACGCTTACCGGCCCGGCTCCCTCAGCCTCCAGGGCGGAGAAATCCACGGCATCGCTGACTCGCGTTCAACGGCCACACAGAACTGCGAGCTGCAAAAAGACTTCGTGCCTTCGGCACCGAGCAGCGGGTCATCGTAGATTTGCCAGTCGTCTGCAGAAAGCAGGCCCTCATTGAGGCTGTTCTTCCTCGGGGCGGCTCCGAACCACGGGCCCTCCCTGCACAGCAAACTCTCTAGTACATTTACCAATCCCAGTCTTAGTAGTTCTATGCTGCGGTACCACACATCCAACCACCGCCCGTGCCCATCTCTGAAAACCTAACACCGCAAAACGCAAGTCCCTCCACACATGCCGCCAGTGAAGACCACGGATCACTACAGCTCTGGCCAGGTTTGTGACACCTTCAGTCTCATCGCCCGCCACCACGCGGCAGATCTCCGCATTGTGCTTTGACATCCTCAGCTCTGGCCAACAATGCGGCAACCTGTGAGACAGACTTTGCCAGCTTGCGGCATTGCTTTGAATGTCAGGAAATCCTCCGCCGCCAGCAGCTGTTCGGCCAGAGCACGATGCCTCGTGAAGCGACAGGCAAATGGCCATGCTGTCTGGTTGAGGCATGCTGCTCTCAGCTTGCGGGCCATGCAACAGAGAGCGATTCTTCGTGAGGCCGGTCTCGCAGAAGCGATCAAACTGCTCTTCAGTGATCGATACCTGGAAAAAAAGAGCACATGACATCGGCACCACAGCGGAGAGTCCAAGCAAGATGCTCGGCACAGCCTCCATGAGATGGCAGAGGAGCAAGTTGGACACCAACTCCTTGAAATTGTTGTGGCATGTGGTGTGCTCCAGCATGGACTCCTCTGTGGCTCAGGCCCATGTCAACTCGTGTCTTCTGTTTACAAGATCGACCTCTGCAGATCTACAACTGCTTTTTGTTCGCCTCGGCTTCGTCGAAGAGGATGGCATTCTTGTCAATAAACTCCTTTCTCTCTCACACTCAAGGATTTCAAGTTCGCAGCTCCGAGTCACAGCTCCTGGATGGGAACCACCCAGGTCGGGGACTTCAGCACGGAGATGACATAGTCCTTCGGTTGTGCAGGATGTTAAGGCTACCAGGCCATCCGGTCACGGACATCAGAAAACATGATGGATCCCGAGACAAACAACATGCACCGAACGCAAGCGAGCGTCAGAGCTAAACACAAGATCTCCTTAGCATGCATCGACTGCTTGACTTTGCCGAGACTCGGAAAGCCAGTCCATGTCATCTATGGATTCTGCCTCTGCCTCTGCCATCTGGGCCTTCGACACGTAAGCAGATGCATCCAGCTCGCAAGAAACTTGACGAAGCACCGTCTACACGTCCGCGCCTTGGAACACGGCGACTGGCCGAAGAAAGAAATTAAAACCCCCGCTGAGCCATGTCACCGGGCATGCATTCACATGTGGGACAACTCATCGACTCTCTACGAGTCCTGCTGTATCGATGCTGCGTGCCTGGTTTGCATCGGCATACTCCTTTTCCAGCATCCCACGACACACCTCGGAATCTCTGAAATGGCTGGTCGCTGAAGGCACCCTCAAGCAGCTAGCAACCTTTGACGGCAGGTCACCCGCTCGACTTTGGCAACAATTTCTGCGCCAAGTTCCTGCCATCGGATGCGATTTGAAGGCTCTGAGATCCCTCACTTCCCTCGAGGCTCGGATTGTCCGGTGGTGTCCTGGTTGCCCAGTAGCTTTGACAGGGCCTTGACCGACTTCGTCGTCTGCTGGAGAGCAACTTCTGACCTGCCATGATCTGCTGCACGGGTTACCAAAAATGCAAGGATTCCCTCAGTAATCCGAAGAACAAATGCAGGCGCTCATCGCCTCAGCACACCTTCAGCACCCCCTGTGGCTGCGGCTGCTGTTGCAGCACGTCTTGCTGAAGCCTCAGCACAGCGCGCCCTACCCACAAACTGCTGGCGCCCTGTGCCTGGCCTCCCTTCTCTTCTGCGCATCGCCAGGCAGAGCCAGGTCTACGAAGCGATACCACTCGTCCTGAGTCTCGGGAAGTTCTTGGCCCTAGCCGGCAGAGCTGAATTCAATGGCCATGGCCAATGTCCCCACAGTAGTTACAACGGAATCGTCGAAAAAACGAACGCGAGGCTCGCGTCACCAAGTCCGAATTGCAGGCCAATTCCGAGGAAGGGGCGGGGGGTATACAGGCTTTATGAGTGTAGTATAAGCTTCAAAAGCATTTTCAAGGTTTCATTTTGGCCTCATCTAGGGACGCAGTCTGTTCTTCAGAGTCCCACATTAGGGCCTCCTGCTTTCTGGATCTATGGGTAAGTGTGTTGGGTTTGACCAAAGCTTTAGGTGGTCGTGTGGATTGGAGGTGTTCAGCCGGAGCCTCAACTTCGGAACTGAGGGCACGGCAAGTACGTACTGCAGGGCGTGCGCTACAAAGGCCTGCACTGCGAGGCACCAGGGTTGACGCACACATCACGGGCAGGCAGGCTTCGGGCCATAGACATTGGCCACGCCCTCATGTTGGCCTCAGGCCTCTGTACCCTTTGACTTGAACCTCGCGAAACCTGGGCCTTGAAACGACATGTTTCTTGAGTCTGGAGTTCCCATGAAATCCGCCTCGGAACTCTCGAAGTCGCTCCGCTTTTGTGGCTCTTTGCCAGGTGCTCGTTCCCTGCAAGGCTGTTCCTAGGTTCTAGATACTGCCAGGTGGTCATGCCGGAAGCTGACTCTCACAGCGGAGAACACACACGACCGAAAGCCTGCGAAGCAGAATGGGGAGTGCACAGCTTCGGTCAACGAGGACGGGCATACAAAAACCCTGACGGATAAACATGTGAACCAGGCTTGAGATTTCATGCTAACAATAGTCTCGAGAAACACAGCCCTGAGAGAAAGGAACAGACGCTCGCGTTGTCGACGAGTCCATTCGGTCGCTACGGAGATCAGGTCTAGACCCTAGACTCTTGCAGCAAGCCCATCGCCAAAGCACCTCGGGCGCGTGACAGTGGGCCGGGGCTTCGCAGGCTCGGCAGGAGCCTCAGCTTCCAGATCACACTCAATGCCTCAAAGCCAGGCCCGGAGCTGACCCCGAGGAATCTGCCGGAGCAGCCAGCAGCGCAAGAGCCGCCTGCACGAAGCTTGAGTTGAGAGTCTTGTTGCCTTGGGTTCGAATCAGCTCGGAGATCCAACCCAGTCCGAATCAGTAGATTGAGTCGCCCAAAACCTCAAGCAGGAAGGCACAATCCTTGTGAAAGCCTTGTGCAGCTTTCTGCCTCTCGCGCACCCTGTGCACGTAGCAGTGCACGGTGACAACGCTCCTGAGGCGGGCCAAGTCTAACTTGGGATCCTTTCTCACAAGAAAAAATACTCCGAACTCCTCGTCTCCCGGGTTCTTGTCCGGATGAACTAGCAAGGCCAAACGCCGAAAGGCGTTCCTTCACTTTCAGACGTACCAGTGTCACCTGAATCTCATGCTGGTGGGGATGCGGCCTGACAGCATAGCTGCTGGCATTCGCAGGGGCGAGGCCCAACACCTCGAAGGACTCAGCTGTTAAACCGAAAAACGGGCTTCCGTGACACAGCGCCTCGAAGGGCTTCTTCGCCTCCGTCGCCAAGATGCGAGCCAGCTCCGCAGCGCAGCGTTCGGAGCCGGGAGTGGCTTCCTTTTACATGTGGCAGCCTCTTACTCGATTTCTCGCAGCTGAACCCCGCCTCAGGCGCTGCGGCTTCCGGTTCTTTTCGGTGCGATTTGGTGCTGTCTGTCCCTTCGGTGTCGCCGATGGGTCCTTCCAACGCAGGCACCTCATCATCAGCAGTGACGCAAATGTCGAGGAATGTGGCTTGTCTGGCTCTTACCTTCGGGTGTCGAAATGCGGCTAAAAGAACCATGCAGACAGCAACTGAAGCTGCCCTGTGACAGTCTGAACTTGTGTCGCATCCTTTCACAAAGCTTCGTGCCAAATATAATATCCGCAAGGCGAAACGCTGCTCACGACGACTACAGCACCTAGGACGTGGAATGTAGCATATGGGTCCAAGCCTGACATCAACTGACCATGTTCGCGACAACATTTCCCGATTCCCCAGGCACCTCCACTTTTCCGCACTCTGCTGTGCGATCGCACAGGAGGCAGCAAGCATAGCCCCACCGATGGGTGGCGACGCCTGATAACCGAGGCCAGGCTGGGTTGCATCGAAATCCACAAAACCAGCTCAACCCTTGCCCCTCGTCCTGGCCCAAACAAAGCTTGCTGTCGTTCGTCAAAGCACAATAGAACGAGCCCCACACAGCAGCGTGGCCGTTCTTCAGATTGTCCTCTTCGTATTTTGAGGCCGCGAGCATACTCCGCCGCTCCGTCTTTGCGACATGAAAATCACGCAGGGTTTTGCTGCCGTGGCTTCGAAACACGTAGCCGTCTAAATGTTGAACTAAAACGCCGCATGTCCATATCGCTGCCGATATTGCCACAAGATGCGATTCATAGTCAGTGCCGGGTTGCAAACATCTGAATAAAATGTTCTTTTCGTTTGCCCTCAACATTGCTGGACAACTTGAGACGGCGACATGAATGTTCTGAGAGCTTACACAGAATTGCAGAAAGGACCTGAACATACAAAACATCGTAGTTAAAGCTCAACACTATTGTTGCTATGTTGTTCGAAAATGCCACCATTGCAAACCGCGCTGCACATCAAAATACATGTCCAAGCCTACCAACTCTCATCGTAACTGGCATTCTCTCATGTGTTTATCCCATCATGATGGCCCCGCCCAATTCGGGAGCCGAATTGACATGTTTCCAGCACCAGTGGGGGCCCAGCACAAATGTTGCAAAAACCACCGGCACGCACATGATACGTTGGAAAACAGCGCATGAAACCAAGAGAACGCACACGTAGCAAAATCGGAGCCCGCCTGAAATGGGACAGCCGCTATATAGGTGTCCTTCGTTGGTCACCATCCCGGAAACCGATTGGGTTTATCCTGCAAAACCCATCTTTTCATTCAAACATCTCAAAATAACCCAGCCGGGCAACAAAAATCTCCCGAAAATGACATGATCTATCAATCATACAACGGGCACCTGTATGTGTATGTGTGCATACATATACATACACATATACACATATATACATGTATCAGGACATAAATACATATATACATATATACCTATATGAGAGAGGCGCCTCTAGGGTC